GTCGGAAGGGAGAAGTGAATGCGCTCACCTCTGCCTCTCCCTCTGCGGGAGGATAAGCCAGGCAGGGCAGCTCCTCGGAGGGGTCTCTGGGCTGGGCATTGGGAAGGGCAGCGTCGGGGGTTCGGGCCAGAGGACCACGGGGCTGCTCTGTCGCTGCCTCCTGGTCCCTGAAGCCTTGTCTGCCCCCTTCACCGGGACCCGCTGGCAGCGCCCTGCTCCCCGCGCGAAGGCTGCACAGCCAGGGGGGTGCTAAGATGTGAGCACAGACCTTCCAGCCCCCGGAGGCCCAGGCCGGCGGGTCAGGGAGGCCAAAGGGCTGTGCAACTTTCTGAAAATCGTTCTCAGCCCTTAGCCGCCAGGACTGACACATCTTCCTTCCTTCCTGGGCACACCGAGGTCCAGGCACCAGGGACACACCTGGCGAGAGCCGCCAAGTGGCCTGTTTTCCTTTCATTCAAAACAGGCGTCCTCAGTGCACATCTCCCACGGGGCAGCTGGGGAAGAGGAGGGAGAGTCACCGCTATTTTTAACAGGCACTCGGGGAGGGAGCTCCTTCTTTCCGTCGCTCACTCGCACGTCCACCTGCTCAGCAAGTGCTTCCACCGAGGGCTGATGGGAGGGCCTGGGAGTGCGGCACGGAGATGAGGGCACGTCTGGCTCCGAGGAGGCCCTGCCAGGGGAGGAGAGCGATGGACCCCGCCCTGCGTTGCTGTGTTTGTGACCCGTGAGCATCTATTTCTGCAAAGAAGAGCTTCCACTCGTGTCTAGGGAGCGTCCAGCGTGGGCTTAGGGACTTAGCTGGTATGTTTCTCCAATTCCCTAGGCCTGTGCGGGCGCGCACCTACAGTGTGATTGAAACTTCGTGGCCCATGCGCAAAAGTTGGTATTTTGTGGAAGAGCCACACTTGGGGCCAAAGAGCCACATGTGGCTCGCGAGCTGCGGTTTGCTGAACTGCAGTTTGCCGACCACTGGTCTAGGCTGACCCCATAATCCAATTTGAAGATACAACCATATCTCTCCTGACAGTCAGGTTTCAATATGGTCATGGCTGTGAGGACTTCTTTGCCCGAGTATCTATAATAGTAAAAGCATAATATGCTAATTAAACCAGATGTCCTTCCGGATGACCTTCCGGACGAAGCCGGAGCTGTGAGGGCTGAGCCCCTTGCGTGAATTTCGTGCACTGGGCCTCTAGTAATTATATAACAGAATGTGGCCCCGTGGCATGGCCCGAGGTTGTCAAACAGCAGGCCTGACGACGGGGCCTCTAATTATATGTTATAATGAGATGGTAGATTTGGTCTGCCATCTAGTGATTAGGAGCTGAATTCTTATAACTAAATTTAAAAGCACAGAAGCCTGCGGAGGAGACAAATCTCTGAGGATATGTGAGAAGCAGAGGACAACTGAGTTCCCGCAAATAAAAAATTTGGCTCTCAAAAGAAATTTCAATCGTTGTACTGTTGATACTTGGCTCTGTTGACTAATGAGTTTGCCGACCACTGGAGAGCATTTGGTCAGCGTAAAGGAATCCTGTAGCTTGGAAGATACAATTTTTAGAAGTTACACCAGCACAGAGATGACAAAATAATGGCAATACTATCAGATATGTACCTGCCCTTCTCAATTTTAGGATAGTTAAAGAAACATAGAAAAAATACAAGTGTTACAATATCAAGGTTTTAGAATTCCTTTTCAGATTTTATAAAAAGGATTTGTTTGCCCACGTACTTTAAGACCAACCCTTTTTTAAGTTCTAGGCCTTAGCGGAGGTGCATGTCGGCTGGGGTGAGTCTATGGTCTGCGCGGAGGAACCGGGAGGCCGTGTCGATTCTCTCCGCACGCCGTGCCTAGTTATTTTTTATCATGTTGTTGTTCATACAATAGTTGTCAGGACACCTTCCTGCCCATTGGCCGCAGTTTGCTTTCTGTGTCCTGTTCTTTCTTCCGTTTAAATAAACATCCGGGTGGAGAACAGGCGGCCAGTCACAAGGTGCTCCCCTGCCGTGCTCCCAGCCGGGCTCCGAGGCCGGTGCTCCCTGCCCGGCTCCCCATCCGCGTCTGCCATTCTCTGAGTCTCAGCCCCATGATGTGCACAGACCTGCTGCGGGGGAGGAAGGCGGGCTCGCAGCGCATGTGGTTTTTCATCTCCTTGCCATTAGCAGCGGCCAGCTCACTTTCCACATCATCTTAGATTTAATTATAAATTCTCCGCGGAAAAGGGCCAGTGATGACTCAGAGGATAACTCGAATTCTTAACATGGTCGTTTAAGAGAGATTACAGGCCCCTTCTCTGCCCCTGATTGAGGTCATGCTCTCTCAGACTCTCAGGAGGAAGCTGACCTGCTGTCAGTTAGCACAAGTCTGTGTGTGCATGTGTGTGTGCGTGTGTGTGTGTGCATATGTGTATGTATGTGTGCGAATGTGCATGTGCCTATGCATGTGTGCGTGTGTATGTGCTCTTTTAAAATTATTTTTTAATCTTTCCTGTTGAAAGCATTACATAGGTCCTTCTTTCCCCGCATTGACCTCAGCCCACTCCTGCTCCCCGCCCAGGCCCTCCCAACCCCTGTCTGTGTCCATGGATTGTGCATCTATGCACACAAGTTCATTGGTTGGTCTTTTCTCACCCACCCTCCCCTGCCTTCCCTCTGAGGTTCAACAGTCTGTCCATGCTTCTGTGTCTCTGGGCCTATTTTTGATCATCAATTTCTTTGGTTCATGAGATCCCACATGTGAGTGAGGTCGTGTGTACCTGTCTTTCTCTGACTGGCTTATGTCACTCAGCACAGTGCTCCCCAGGGCACAAGTCTTTCAGTCCCACCCGCCTCAGAAGGAGCTGAGGAAACAGGGAACTCGCCCCCAAGGGTCTGTCCCACTTTATGACCTTTACTGGTACCATTACTGCAGGTCACTTTGTGTGTTGCTTATTGTTCAGACTCTCTATTTCCACACAGCTGATGGCTTCATTGATGCGGCTAAAATCTACATCACAGTAATATATATTTTTGAGAACAGAACACATGTACTTTCAATGTTTTGCACGTGCGGTACTAGCACACTTACTCCTCAGTGCAAACACGTGAGCGCTGTGTCCCTCAGGCTGTGGGAAGGGAAGGCAAGCGGACTGAGCTTAGCGTGTGGCTCATTTTCAGCCGCGGTCTTTCGTGTTTGCGATTGGATATTTCTTTCTCAGTAGTAAAGCTTAATGAACAGAGTTATATTAATTTACTTACGTAATGGAATCGTTCAATGAATATGGGTGCAGGTCTGTGTTCATACAGGTTGTGTTCTGTTGAAATGTTCATCGTAGAGCGACATCGCTTCAAAGTGGTTTTTCATCTGAAAGTAATGCTGCTCATTCGATGTACAAATTTCTGTTTATTTTTTTTTTTTTAAGATAGTGCTGCCGAAAAGCCTATGAAAGCAGGAGACTTTTCTCTTTGCCGGGCTAAATGCCTTTGGCAGCACAGTGCAGGGCGGTGTGTGGTGGAGAGAGGCGTGCTGCTTAGTGGTCGGCTATGGCCTATCTGATAGAATCTTCTGGTGACGGGGGGCGGCGGGGGGGCGCAGATGGAAACGGCGCTCCTCTGCTGAGCAGCACATCAGTGGAGTAAAGGAAGTCCCCTTCTATGAGGTTGTCAGAGAGGAATTGTGGGGGAGGGGCAGCTAGGCAAACCCTGACAGTGAGGAGGGGACCCGAGACCGGGAGGAAAGGCCGGGCCAGGAGAGGGGTCGGGGGGCCCTGACTGAATGGGTCTAGGAGGCGCCTGGGCTGCAGAAAGGAGTTTGAGTTTCAGCAGCTGGGAAGCTCCTGAGGAACTAAGCAGGGATACCATGATCTGCTTTATGTTTTAAAATACTGTCGTTTGCTTTTAAAAACACAAGGTTAAAGATGTGATGTCTGTGTTTATTTCCTGGGAGATGAATAATAGAAGTGCTATTACTGCGCATGTATACAGTCTCCAAATCTGCAAGCAGTTTTTACCTAACGGTAGGAAAGCATTTGGCAGGTGGCACGTAATAGGCTGCCGTATGGTTTTGGTCATGGCTTTTCTTAATTCAGTTTGACACAGAGGTAAGGACGGCAGTGCCGGGATAGGCTTGGCATTTCTGTTTCAGCTTAGTGAGCGCCTTCAGCTCAGGATGTCTAAGGTAAATGTTTTCCATAGAAGAGGACCCTGTTACTCTTTTTTTAACCTTACGTTTAAAACTAATTTTAATAAACCCATATAATTTTTAAAAAATAAGTATTTTTAAAAATTTATTTTAGAGAGGAAGGGAGATGGGGAGAGAGAGAGAGAGAGAGAGAGAGAGAGAGAGAGAGAGAGAGAGAGATCAGTAATGAGAGAGAATCATTGATAGGCTGCCTCCTGCATACCCCACACTGAGGATGGAGCCTGCAACCCAGGCATGTGTCCTGACTGGGACTCGAACCATGACCTCCTGGTTCACAGGTTGATGCTCAACCACTGAGCCACACTGGCTGGGCAACCCATACATTTTAAAAAAAGTTTTTTTTCTTGGTACAAGGACACATGGTGTCTTTTGTTGTTGTGGAATTTGCTAACCTGAAGCTTCTAGGGAGCTGAAAGTCACAGAGGGGTTGCCTGAACATGAAATGGTGTATTCCCCATGGGACTATTACTCTCCCCCCGCCTTTGCACAGTGTTTTGTTTTTATTCCTCCTTGTCGCTCTTCCCATGTTTTGTCATTTATACCGTCAAAAACGAAGCCTGTGGGAGGCATTCAGCATCCCTCCTTCTGATCACTTCACCTGCTCCCCGATCAGCGAGGATGCAGTGCCGTGCTCATCTCACTGTGAGCTGCACGTTGCTTGGGTGTAAATCCAAATGAAGGCAGTTCATCTGTGCTTGCGCACTGGGGAGGTAGTGCTTACCCAGAGTTCTCCAGGAGCCACAGGACGACTCCTCTTCTCCACTACTTCCCGGATCCTGAGCTTGCAGGTCACTAACCTTTCTTCTCCTTCTCCTTCCAGAAGGGTATGGTGAAGAGATAGCCTGCACTCAGAACGGCCAGATGTACTTGAACAGGGACATCTGGAAGCCCGCCCCCTGCCAGATCTGCGTCTGCGACAACGGGGCCATTCTCTGCGACAAGATCCAGTGCCAGGAGGTGCTGGAGTGTGCCGACCCCGTCACGCCCGCTGGCGAGTGCTGCCCCGTCTGCCCGCACTCCTCCGCAGGGGGCGGCACCCACTTCGGTGAGCACGTGGGCCGCTCGGGCCCGGGCCGGGCTCGTCGGGCAGTGGCGGTGCCAACAGACCCAGCAGCTCCGGAGAACGGTTAAGCCGCTCCTCAGTGGTCTTCGGGGTCCAGGACTCTGCTCACCCACTTTCTTAGTGATTTCCTGTCTTTTTAAAAACCAGGGGTTATGGCTGAGTTTGGAGAAGTTATGTCTAAGTTGAGAATTCCCTGTACCATGTTAGCTGGTCATTTGTTACCTGTCCGTGCTGGATGCCTCCAAGGCATTTGTTGATTTTCTATGAAGTTGGTTAATGTGCTGAGAGAAAATCTGGAAAAAAACCAAACATTTATCTTCCCTGGTGCCAACTTAGCCCTTGGGAATAGAAGAATGATTCCTAAAGTAACTGCGTGCCACAGAACCGTCTAGAACAGTGGTTCTCAACCTTTCTAATGCCACGACCCTTTAAATACAGTTCCTCATGTTGTGACCCAACCATAAAATTATTTTCGTGGCTACTTCATAACTGTAATTTTGCTACTGTTATGAATCGTAATGTAAATATCTGATATGCAGGATGTATTTTCATTGTTACAAATTGAACATAATTAAAGCATAGTGATTAATCACAAAAACAATATGTAATTATATATGTGTTTTCCGATGGTCTTAGGCAACCCCTGTGAAAGGGTTGTTCGACCCCCAAAGGGGTCGCGACCCACAGGTTGAGAACCGCTGGTCTAGGACATTAGCTCAGAATGTTTTTAACGTTGGCCGAGAAAGAAAAGAGAATGGATGTATATCCTGGAGAAACAGTGGTGTAAACTGCTGGTTTTAAAACTTTCTTGAGAGAAAAGTGCGTGTGTTTAGCATAGACCACATGTCTGAGAACATGTGTTAAAGAAGCTCACATGTAAGAGAAACAAGTTTACATGTATGTGTCTTAAGGAACAGGTGAGGTTGATGTTAAAGTTCTAGACCAGTGGTTGGCAAACTCATTAGTCAACAGAGCCAAATATCAACAGTGCAACGATTGAAATTTCTTTTGAGAGCCAAATTTTTTAAACTTAAACTATATAGGTAGGTACAATGTTATTAACTTAATTAGGGTCCTCCTAAGGCTGAGGAAGAGCCACACTCAAGGGGCCAAAGAGCCGCATGTGGCTCGCGAGCCGCAGTTTGCCGACCACGGTTCTAGGCCATCGTTTTACGGGTCATGAGTGGAGGCTTGGAGCATCATGGCCAAGACAGTGCCCAGGCTTTATTTTTACCCAAATACCATTGCCGATCACAGCAAACGCAATGACGTTTTCACACTTAGACAGTAATTGGTCAGTTCTCCTCCTGGAAAGCATTCAGGTAACAATGTGCCTTGAATAAGTATCTAAACTTACATTTTGGGGAAGTAATAAGAAGGCAGAATGGAGAGGATTAAAGCAAGGTACGTAAGGGCTGCCTGCAGCAGATGCATTCTTCAAAGAAACCCCAAGGACTGAAGTAAAATCCAGTCGGTGGGGATCAGGGAGTAGTACGTTGGGCAATGATGGCAAATATCAAAAACAGCCAAATGCTCCACCTCCTGCAAATAGCTGGTTGAGGAAAACTCAGCTCCTTCGCAGGTGAATATCAACAAAACAGTGACAACAACAACCCAAAAACCTGGCACGAGCATTGATACAAAGATACAATGAGAAAAAAGTGTGGGAGGTTTAACCAAATTTACGTGATCAAGAACAGGTAAACTCAGTTAACTATATCATCACAAAACAGGGAAATCATTCGACAAAACCTTTCATCATAAACTAAATAAAACTGAATAAAGTAATTGCCTCTGAGAAAGAAGGCCATAAATTAGAAATGCAAAAAAATGTAATGCGGAAGGAAATAGAGGGGAAACCACAATCATAATGGAGACATGCAGGTGAAATCGTAGGGAGCACAGGAGAAGTGATGCTGCAGAAAATGCATGAAGGGACATAGAAAACAGTGCTGAGAAGGGAAAAAGGGAAAGGATTTGAGAGGAAGTAATAGATACACGAGACAGGTTATATCCCCGAAGAAGAACCCCCAACGAAGAAACAAACATAGATGATCATATAATAGAAGAAAACTTTTCTGAAGTAATATTAAACTTTAATTTCAATATTTCAAAGGGAAACCAAGTATCTGAAAAAGTTGACCCAGAAGAATCAATATAGAGACTTATCTTAGTAAAATTATTAAACTTAAAGGAAAAAGAAAGAATCTTTTGGAAAACCAAGGAAAAAGAATGTTTAATAATAGAAGCATTCTCTCCAAACTCAGAGGTAAAACAAGGATTCATTATCACAGCAGCAATTCTACATTATTGAATGTACCCGAGTAAGCAACTAGATAGGAAAAAAAATTAGAGATTTAGAAATTAGAAAAGAGAAAATTATCAGTTTGCAGAAAATAAAATCATGTGCTTATAAAACGGAAGAGAATGGAGTAAAAAAAAAAACCACAACACACACACTACAAAAATAAAAGATTTTAGTAAGAGGGCAGTGAACAAATTAATAAACAAATTAGTAGGTTTACTATATGTGATTACATCCTATATAATAAAAGGCTAATATGCAAATTGTCCCCTTGGGAGTTCAATGGACTAGGAGTTCGACCACTTGCTATGACATGTGTTGACTACCAGGGTGTGGCATGGAATGAAGGAAGGTCCCAACCAGCAGCCGGCAGCCAGGGAAGAAAGGCCCCAGCTGGCAGCCAGCAGCCAGCAGCTGGCAGCTGAGGGAAGGAAGGCCCGGATTGGCCCTGGTCGCTGGCCAGGCCTAGGGACCCTACCCGTGCACGAATTTTGTGCACCGGGCCTCTAGTCATAGTATAAATAATGAGAATAAAAATCTTCATTTATAATAGCATCAGGGAGGATAGAGTGGCTAAGGATAAATTTAACACAAAATGTTCGAGATCTATCTGAAGAAAACTGTAGAACACGACTTATTCAAATGATGACTTTAACAAACGGGATGTTCTGTTACCTTCTTGGTTAGGAAGACTGATAATAGGAAAACTAAGAATAGTGCCCTCCTGTTGTGGGTGAAATGTGGGAGATCGGGGGAGGGGGACAAGGGGGAAGGAGGTTTTTACTGTAAATTGTGTACCTTTAATATAGTCGGGCTTGTTACTCATATGAATGAATAGCCTACTCAAAAAAATATAGAAACAAAAGCAGAGAATAGTGTCTAAAATATTTCAGTATAATTTTAACTAGAGGCCCGGTGCATGAATTCATGCACAGGTGGGGTTCTGAGGGGGGTGGGGGGGGATGGCTGGGATGCGATCGGCCCTCTGGTAATTTAGTGAACTTTAAATGCTATATAAATGATATGAAGAATATTTTTTTACATGTCAGAATTCTCTAAAGGGATGCATGATTTTGCCTCTTACGGATACATTGATCCCAAACAACTTTTGAGTTCTGCTCACTAGTGATAGGGAAAAAACCACTACCTATTATTAAAAGAAGTATTTAGGAGATTTAAAGAAACTATTTCTGCATAAAATAACATTGATTCTCTTCTTTTTACAGGTAGAGGAAGAAAGGTAAGCTTTATTTTGCATAGCTCCATTTTTGTAAGTGTCTTTTTCATCCTAATACTGTCTACAAAGAACTGTGCGTTTGAAGTGTTTGGAACCCTTTCATAAAGTACACAGTACCATCAAAGATAAATACATGAGCTCAGTGCAGCGTCTTGCTTACAGATTACAGATGCTTCTATTTTATGTGCTTTGTTAATTCTTGTTTATAGCTGTTCCTTCCAGAAGACAGTGGGCCCGTAGGGATCGAGGCTGTGTCACATTAACCTATGAATTACTTCTGTTTATCATAGTACTTAGTATATGTGCCTTAAGCATTAGAAGTGCAACAGATGTTTAACTGAGTGAAAGAAGGGAGGAAGGGAGTGGGAGGGAGGTAAGGAGGGAGGGAGATAAGAAGGGAGGGAGGGAGATAGGGAGGGAGGGAGGGAGGGAGGGAGGGAGGGAGGGGGAGGGAGGTAAGAAGGGAGGGAGATAAGGGAGGGAGGGAGGGAAGGAGGAAAAGGAGAGAGGAAAGAGGAAAAGGAGAGGGAGGAGAGGGAGAGAGAAGGGAAGTAAGGAAGGGAGGGAGGGAAGGAGGGAGGGAGGGAGGGAGGAAAAGGAGAGAGGAAAGAGGGAAAGGAAAGGGAGGAGAGGGAGAGAGGAGGGAGGGAGGGATCGAGGGAGGGAGGGATCGAGGGAGGGAGGGAGGGAATTAGTTCTACTTCAGTAGAGTTGTGGTCCCTCTTCCATTAGTTGGGAAGTAAAGATTCAGCTAAAGGAATTAATTGAGCATTTTACCAAACACATACCCCCCCCCCCCTTTCTCACCTTCAAGGAGCCTAAAATCTAGCCCCAAGGTCAAGCCTTACTCTCAGGAGGAAAGGAGTTTCCGATGGCCATGGCCTCCCACACTGGCCGTCACCCACCGGTCACCGGGAAATGCCAGTCCCACTAGTGAAGAGAGTCCACTTCTCCTGCTTGTGTTCTCAGCTTTCTGGTTACCGTGGGAACGGCGGCATTTGCTTCTGTCTCATCCCAGTGGGAGGGGCACAGGATTCGGTGGAAACAGGCAGTCACCCCAGGTTTCAAGGCGATTGCTGCCAGATCACCGGCACATGTAACGCGTCTTCCGCTTGCAGACCTGGAGCTGCACTGAGTGCTGGGCCGGTGCGCAGGTGCAGCAGTGCTGTGCTCAGGGGATGCAGGCGGCGCTGGCCAGCGGATGCCAGGGCGCGGCCACACTTCGTGCCGCGGGCAGTCTCACACCTTTGTCTTAATTGACACAGGTCAGAGGAGAGGCCTGCCAATGCCAATTTGCATTTAGTTTAGATCTAAAAGCTAGGAAAACTGAAACCTAAATGTTCGAGTTCAGGTCTCAAACAAACTCGATGAATACATAGAAGACCCATGAAATAAACGGCCCTGAAGTAACCGGCTTGGTTTGTCCCTGAAGTAACCGGCTTGGTTTGTTGGCATCACGCACAGCATTCCCCGCCTTTTTCCGAAGGCGGGCGGGACGCAGGGGCAGGGCACAGCCAGGCGGTGCCAGGGCAGCTGCGCTCTGCTCCTGATCACCAGGGTCCCAGCAGCGAGAGCAGGTGATGCTTAGAAGCAGGTGCTTGGGGTATATCGATGCTGAGTTTTATTGTAATTTATTCATCACAACCCTCAATCGAGGCAAACAATACAAATGAGGTGGTAGTGGGACAAGCACCCCATCTTATAAAAATGATGGGGCCTTGAATGGTGAGTAACAGACAAGATGTAAAATTAAACTGTTAATTCTCATCTGAATTTGGGTACTTAAATGGGTATAAAAACCAAATCTAGTTACACTTTAGATAAATTATCCTTCCACATAAATTAACTTCATTAACAAAGCCCATGTTAAGGTATTTAAAATGCCCATATTAACAAAGCAGCAAATATTTACTCTTGTGGCTTATTTCCAAGTAAGAAGTATCATAGACACATAAGACAAGTGTATTATCAGAACCTGACAATGGAATATGTAATCCCATATCAAATATTGCAGACAGATAGAGAGCTCATAACGAGATATCAAATAAACCAACAATGTAGCTAAGAAAGACATCAGCAGATTCCATTCTGAATACAAAGCATACTTTTTTTTTTTTGCTGGTCTCTTAGGACAGAGATTTCACAACCATTCTTAGCATGCTATCCTATTTTTCTCATTTTGGCTGAAATAATTTATCCTCCCGTTTTACTTATTTTTTTAAACTTGTTACAGAAAGAAACTTTAAAAAAATAAGGCCCTTTTTTTTATTGGGCATGGATTTATATATCCCTTCTACACAATTAAAATGATTGCCTGGCCAGTGCGAATCAGTGGTTGGCATCAACCTATGAACCAGGAGGTCACAGTTCGATTCCCAGTCAGGGCACAGGCCGGGGTTGCGGGCTCCATCCCCTGGAACTTACTCACCTAGAGCCCCCTCCTGCTTCTGCTCTGAGGTCTCAGTCTGCCCCTGACCTGCAGACACTAGCTGCCTCAGTCTGGGAAGCAGCAAGCAGGACCCTGTGGTTCTGCCTTGGAGCTCATCACCACGACCATCAAGGCTGCGAAAGGATTTTAAAGTCTCACCTCACGACACGTGTTCAGACGTGAGACACTGGGGTGTAGTTAGCTTGTACCTCTGGGAGTGCAATTTGGTGACTTAGAGAAGAAATCTTTAAAACATGTGTTATCTTTAATTGACAACTTTAATTTCTAGAGATATGTCACATGGCATTCATTAGAGAGGCCACACAAACATTCATAAGCAAGGGCATTCATTGTTATTTTTAATTGTAAAAATGAAGACAAAATCTAAGAGTAAAATACTGAGGCTTTTATTAGGTAAACCAAGTTCAGACACATGATGGAAACTAATATTAACTATCTCCAGAGTATTAAGATATTTAGATTATTCTTTATTTTTCTCCACTTAAAAAATTTCAGTGAAAACTGCCCTGAAATAATCAGTTTAATTTGTTTAGTAATCACCCAAAGTATTAAAGTACTATGAACTCATATTATTTTTATAATTAGATAAAAGGACAATATATGTGAAAGAAGAAATTAAAATGGAACTCATTACTCTTGCTTATTCCATATTTTGAGTATAATCATTAATGTATTTATTCTCTGCAATTGTCTAGTAAAAAGCATTGATTGATAAGCTATCAATGAAAATTAATATATTCACGAAGCGTTTATTGAGCATGTGTGTGCCAGGCGGAGGGTGCGAAGTGGACAGGGCTATGCCTTCGGGAGGCCAGGTCGGCAGGGTGACAGATCCTGAGATACAAAACCCAGGCAAAATGTGATAAAATAGGGATCTGGTGGTACAGTCCACCCACTGTTATTTATCCTGTGTGCTTGGCATCATGCTAACAAAACACAGCTTCTGAGATTCTAAGGTTCTAAGAATCAAAAGAAATTCCATCCACACCTTTTGTGTTTGATACATCTATTATAAAAGCAAATTAAAGTGCTTGGCTTTATTTACTTTAGATTATGATAGTTTCTTATGTTATTTTTTTATTTTCCTATCAATCAATATTTTTTCTAGGTTTTCCTCAGATATTAAATTATCTAATATTGTCGCACCTTTTCTTATTTTTCCCGTTTCTTTTTATTAAGTTGAGCACTCTTATCTCTGGTTATTTCTCAGATTCTCCCAGGACTCTTAGGGGAGGGTGGGACGGGTTTTAGGACCGGCATCGGGCACGTGATTAAAACCTAGGTGGCATGTAAGGTGCGTGTGAAACTCACGTGTGTGAATCCCTAGAACGTTTCGTTTGTCGCATGTAGGTAGCATCTCCTGCTTTGACTTGACATGTTCATCACAAGCACGTCTTGGTCTCGTCAGCTCGTTGGGTTTGGCTGTTGTAAGAACGGAATTGGCTTTGCTTTCTTCTTCTAGCTTTCAGATGAGTAGTGTTTTTTCTCATGAATAATGTCTGACTCAATATCCAAAATTGATGAACTCTCTCTTCTGAATTTTTTTTGTTTCTTACATCGACATTCCCAGGGTTTACATAGAACATTGTAGTATGACATGTGCATGTTCAACAAACCATCGTGTTTTGCTAATTGAAGTTTCCTTCTTGCTTCACAGGGAGAGAAAGGAGAGCCAGGATCAGTGCCTGTTGTGAGTACATGTTTATGTCACATTCGCGCCCTTTCCACCCGCTAGCTGAGAGCTGTATATTATACTCTCAAAAAAAGGGAAGTTTGTTGTTTTATAACCAAGTTTTTAGTATAAAACAAGCAAACCAAGATTAATTCTCTAATACAATAGCTAATTTTAATATAAACTTTTATGTTTATTAAATACAATTCTGAATATTAACCAAAATAGATTATTGATTTCATACAAAACTTAATGCTCATTCAGTACAATATTCTTGACTTTACAGTCCCATAACTAAAGGTGAAAATCAGGGCTTTACAAAAATAAATATGTTGCATGTGCCTATAAAGTAACAGACACACATTTTCAATAGTGTAATCGCCCTGTGATCCCAAGAGAGCGAGACTGGGCGTCCACTCTCTGGACACGGTCATGCCGTCCTCCTGCCTGAGACTCATGAGGTGTAGAGTCATTTTTAAAAATTATCTTATTGTTGAAAGTATGCAAATGTCCCCCCCCCCCACACACCCCAGATTGTATAAAAGTTCTTAAGGGTCACCTAGATTTGTAGGTGATAAACACAAATCACTAAATAGGATGACAGTTCTTCAGCAACCACTGTCGTGGATTTTAATGGAGTCACTGCCGTTCCGTCAATAAAAAGCGTGTGCACGTTGGTTTGCTTGGCAGTGTCGGCGTTTTCGCCTTGCCATAGGTCGGCTTGTTTTGAACAGGTGACCTGAAGAGAAGATCACTCGTTTTCCCTTTCATTTAAAACACTTCCGTGTGCTTCCCATGTCTTAGGCCAGTGATGGCGAACCTTTTGAGCTCGGCGTGTCAGCATTTTGAAAAACCCTAACTTAACTCTGGTGCCGTGTCACATATAGAAATTTTTTGATATTTGCAACCATAGAAAACAAAGACTTATATTTTTGATATTTATTTTATATATTTAAGTGCCATTTAACAAAGAAAAATCAACCAAAAAAATGAGTTCGCGTGTCACCTCTGACTTAGTCGCCATCACTGTGACTTAGGTGCTGTTTTAGGTGCTTTTCAGATACTTCTAGTCGTCAGCACAGTCCCGTGAGGAGGTCATTCACAGTCCTGATCACTGTCTCACAGGAGAGAAGCGAAGCACAGAGGAAGCAGCGCGGGCTGTGCAGCTGCTGGGGTGGATGGGCCCTGCGGCCTGGGCTCAGCCCGGCTCCGACGCCCCTGCCAGGCTGCCCTCCGGCCTCGGCGCTGGGGTCACGCGGCTTCAGCTCCCGGAGGGAAGGGGCCTCAGTCGACAGCCTTCCTGTTTCTTAACGATTCTCTGGGGCTGTTGTTGTTACTCCTCTTGGTTTGACTGTTGACTTTCCTAAATCTCCGTAGATAGAAGTTCCGTCTTTGCGAACTCTGTTGTCTCTCGTTTAGGTGACCGGCATCCGTGGTCGGCCCGGACCCTCGGTGAGTAGCTCCCTTCAGCGTCCGCGGTGCTGGCAGTTCTGGAAGGGACAGGACACGTTTATGAACCTCACAGCCACAAAGGCAGTAGATGCCCAGCAAGGACGCCTGGTGGCCCTCGGCAGTTTTTCTCAAAGCGCCTTCCATGCAGGCCTCCCGCAGCCGCAGTGAGGGGCGCGGGGGCCGCTTGGTCCTGCAGCTGCAGCGCCGGCTGTTTCTCCCGGGTCAGCGTCCCTCTCGCTGTGTGAAGGGCAAAGCAGCCGCTGGGTGTACGGCTGGTTTAGGTCAGCCTTGGCATTGCCATTGGGGCGTGCTTGTCTGTGGTGTTAAAGGTGGGTCACTCTTATCTGTTTAATGAAACAACTGTTGATTTTATCTATTGATGAAATGAAATTATATAGCAGTAGAATTTGAGATATCACGCATTGGAATAGCATATTTCGGATTTCAGGTTTGGATTCGCAGTAGCATTCATAGGTAACTAGATGGATCACACACACACACACGCACACACACACACACACACTCACTCACACACGATTCCTGTGGGACTTCGGACACTAAATCAGCAGAAGTAACATGCGATAGCCTTCACAGGCCTGCTCCGGCCCCCGGAAGCTTTGGCCTTTAAGCAGTGCTGGCTGTTGGACCGAGCAAATGCACAGTCTCATTTTCTTAACTCCATTGAACCTCTTGAAGAGAATGGGATTCTCTGGGCCACTGCCGTTTTGTAGAAAAAGAGCTCGTTTAAACATGAGCACAAGGATCCCACTTTCGAAAGACAATGCTCGCTTGTCCTGTGGAGCGGTAAAGAACTGCAGTTACTGTTTGGAGGTTCTGAGTGGGTTTTAAAGAGATGGAAGATGAGGCAATGCTCTGAGTCAGCAGGAAGTGAGGTTCTTGCAGGCACATGTGGGGCAAGAGCTTTCTTCCCAGCGCGTCCACTGGCGACGCGAGTGCTGGTGAGTAACTTGGGGGATCATGTGCCAACGTGAACTCATGTACCAACATGAACTCAGGCATTCGCTCAGACCAGTGACATTCGGAGCTCGCACATCTACGTCGCTCTCAGAATCTGAAATAGAAGTCTTTGTGCCCATAGATAAGGGACAAGACCGCAAGAATGATCTTTACGAATTTGCCATGACTGCTCCAACAAGTACGCTGAGCTCGCTGGCCTCCACGGGGCTGTGCTGTAGCCGCTAATGCTTTACAGGCCTTAGCGTCACTGCTAAAGCAAACAGCCCTCTGTACACACAGCTTCCGTGTGCACGTGGCTTATTTTCTAGTCTGTGACTGATGGGAATTCAGAACGAAGGGAGGTTTCCCCGTCTTCCACTTTCTTATCCCGAGTAAGCCTTTCAAACAGAACCATCTGCGTGTGGACGTGTTCTGCAGTGTAACCCTTGTTTTCTGCTTCAGGGCCCTCCAGGATCGCAGGGACCAAGAGGAGACAGAGGCCCCAAAGGAAAGCCTGTGAGTTGGCGGCGGGCCCCTTGGTGTGGATTGTCCTGGGTACTGGGCCCCTGAGCCCCATTCTCTGGGTGCAGCAAAGAGCTGGTGGCTTTGTTCCTCCCTCACCTCCCTTCAGTGTGACATCTGTCTCCTGATTCGGAGGAAATGATCACATGCTAATAATTACCGGTTATCCTTTTCAATGGCACAGATGACCTGACCTGTCTTGGTCCTTTGAGAGTTCAAATTAGAATGGAGTAGAACCTAACGGAATATAATGAATGCCTCATGTTGTTTTCCGAAGTTGTAACTCATGAGTAAGCAATGCCAAGAATGCACTGATGAGATAAAGCACCCGAGCTCTGTGAGCTGTGGCTGCCACAGGAACAACCAAATTGGATAAAGGAAAAAGGAACTAATCGAGGACACATTTTCTTTCATGTGGGTGTGTAATGAATTTATTTCACAAGCAGCGTGCTGCTGCTTCATTGAGCGGTTCTGCAGAGCCATCAAAGGGATAGTTCTAAAAATCAACAAATCCATGGCCAGGATAAAGGGAGTGCCTTGAAATGTGAATAATAATTCTGTACCTTTGAGGTAAAACACGAGAATGTCGTATGCGTATGCCAAACGTTTCCCCTTACTACCTACTGCTGCCCTAGGATAGCAGTTCTTTCTCTCTGTCACCCACAAAAGCTCGTGTCTTTCATATACTGAATAGCAGGACTAATTAGTGTATTGCTATCATTATCTTATGTTTCAATCTGAAAATTCTGTTCTCTTGTATTTTCTGTCAAATGATATGTCCTAAAATGTAACCCTGGACTGTTAACTTTCAAATACACATTCATCCACAGCTAAACGGGAGAAATGGATGAACGGGTTAGCAGCAGACAACCTTGAATATATAAACGAGGAAAAACCTAATGCTGGGAACTCTTGCCGCCCCGTTTTCTTCTTTGACACAATTTTATGTTTCACTTGATGGCGTGTGTAGAAGCATGAAACAGTACCTGCTTTTCCAGGCTGGAGCTGGGGTTGTGGGTGGTGTGTGCAGACATGCGGTAGTCGCAGTGCCCTTGGGAGCGGGCCTGGCCTGATGGGTGGGCAGGAAGCTGTGTCCGATGAGCTTCTGCCTCATCCTTCACTGCTGTTCTCTGCACCGTCTCCCCCCCGGGGCGCTTACACACTGCGGTTGGCTCTCAGGTGTCTGTCCAGGGTCTGGAATGACAAAGCTGGGTGGAAGGGGGGTGGGAGGGTAGGGGGTCATGCGGAAAACATTGTGCATCCATGTGTTCGTGCTGAGGATAGTTGATAACACGAGTCCTAAGTCTGGGTGAAAATTGCGACGGAAATAGTGGTTGGACTTCCAGAATCCCTGTTAGGATTTGGTGAATCTACTCCTCATGCCTCTTACTTCTCTTCTCTTCTTCTCCCCTCCCCTCACGATTCAGTGGTATGACAGTGTTTAACAACTGACTCCTTACAAATAAATAAATAAAGTGCCTGTAGCGCTTGCCGATTTCCCGGGTGTTAATACCCCCACCAAAGCTGATGTCAAGATATTGGCATGCTGTCACAGAATACCCACAGGTAGAATGTTTGGCCTCAGGTCGCACGGCTTGCAGGAGCTGCTTAGCTGGACTAGAGCTGTGGCTGACACACATAGGGGGTACGACCATCATAAATACCATCTTCTCCCGCTATGTCCACAGCCATCAAACACTGCAGGAGGCTCACCGCGTAGAGCGGTTCCTCAGCCGATTGGGGCGACATTTCCGTGGGCCTTGTAGGGTGTCTGGCAGCGTTGCTGATTCCTACCCACCGGATGCCGTGGCAGCAGCTGCCCCGCTGCCTCCTACAACTGTGACAACTAAAACCACCTCTCGATGTTGTCAGTGTCCCTCGGGAGGCAGATGGACTGAGAACGACTGACGTAGAGCTGCTCTCAGAGCCTCATGACCAGCCCGTGGTCATCACGAATGTCTCTCATCACAGGCCCTTAGCTGTAAGCGTGTGGTCCTGGTAACCTCACAACGATGGGAAACTAGCAACCTGTCAGTCGATGGGGTGCTGAGTGCTAACTGCACGTGACAGTGGACAGCTGTGGGTTTAACATCTGTGAAGTGGGAATATACCAGCTCCCACCCCAACAGATAACGATTGGTGTGTTTGTCATGCTACTAACCAGCAGTGCATTCACTTGATTCTGGGTCCTCATCACTCCTACTTGTGGACGTTGAAACGTCGCCACCTAGTGGCGATCTGCAAGACTTGGTATTGCAGATGGCTTCTCGGGATCCTAGGGAATCCTGGGGGGTGGGAGGGACCGATTCTGAAGAGAACATTGACGCTGATATAACCTATGTGACTAGCTCGCTTAGGAATGGGAAAATATATCGTTTAGTGCATGCCCAGATTACAGGTTTTTTTTTAAAGTATATATATATTTTTAAATATATATTTTATTGATATTTTACAGAGAGGAAGGGAGAGAGATAGAGAGTTAGAAACATCGATGAGAGAGAAACATCGATCAGCTGCCTCCTGCACATCTCCTACTGGGGATGTGCCCGCAACCCAGGTACATGCCCTTGACCGGAATCAAACCTGGGACCTTTCAGTCCGCAAGCCGACGCTCTATCCACTGAGCCAAACCGGTTTTGGCCAGATTACAGTTTTTGTTTTCAATATTTATCAATGAAAATGTTCATATACATGTTAGCATATTTTTTCTTATTTTCTCTTATAATCTTGCTTATTATGTTCACTTCATTTTGGATAGTTTTTCTGAGTTTAACCTCAGTCTGTGTAATAGTTACCCTGACTGTTTAAGGAGATGCCATGGGGACACAGGATGCATCATGAAGTCTACGAAAAAGTGGGCTGTCTTCAGAGCTGAGTTTGAAACATGACTATTAATCCCAGAGGCCTGGGGCCGGGACCCGCCGCTGCGGGTTAAACCACCCAGACCTCTCTTTACTCCCATCGGCACGGATGCAGTTTTGGTTTTGTCTTTGGAAACCTCTTGGAGAGCGGAAGTAATGTGTAAGCTCACTTTTTGTATATAACAATAACTAGTATTCAGTTTGCAATTTCAATTTGAAAACACCTTAGTTTTCCACGCCAGGCTCTGCGTGGTGCAGACTCCTCCCCTGTCTGCAGGCACTGCCAGCATACATTCGCAGTTCCTGTTGCCCACGCACACGTGATTCAGAAGCCCTGGGTAGCGGTTAAAATCAGCCCCCACTCACATGCATGTCATGGGAAGAGTCCAGTGAGTTGTCAGGGGCTTAGGAGTCAGAAAAGGTTTGATTTTTAAAAGATGAGAATAATTTTCCAAGAAAATATTTTTCAGAATGCCACTTCTTCTGGCTAAGTTATCTACTTCTATTTGAGCAGATGCCTTGGCTTATGTGCCCACTCTTCCAGGAAGTGAACGTGCCGATATGAATGTCTGCATATGTTCAAACGCATGGGTTACAGTTCCGAGCAGCTCCTATGCCCTCTCCCACGCCATCCTATGCAGACTGCCCCTCCCCCAGCTTCTGCAGTTCCCCCTCCGGCTACGGCTACCTCCGCTCATGAGCTGTCACTGTTGGGGGCACTGCGCAGTCTCACGTTTAGGCATGAGAAGCTTCTGTTACTATTGAACTCCGATGCACTGACCATAGTTTTCTCAGTCCGTGCTGCTAACTGTGAAAATCCCATTGACTTCTGAGTTCTTTCGTCCTTGGTTTCTTCTTAGAGAAGCGAGGGCTCTTTGGGGATAAAGAGCCAGAACATAGTTAACAAGCCCCGTGGAAACAGGGAGGTTGGGTTGAGGACATGGCCGCTCCCCACACCGCCTTCAGAATGGGGGTTAGGAGGGGAGCTGGGCAGCGGAGGGCATCGCTCAGGTCTCCCAGGAGCAGGCTGGTGGGGCCACTGCACCTCCCTGTGCTTCTTTGGTCTGGTCTGCCTTGGGGGTGGCGAGGAGAAGACAGTGCGCCGAGAGCGTGTAGCAAACACATCGTCAGCTTCGTGCTGGGAACCATGCGAAGCATTGAAGAGTTAGAAAGAGTAAACCCACCAACTACAATCCAGGGTCCTTCACATTTTTGTTGTTGGGGGAGGGGTTGTTAAGCAGGCACATACGTAGCTGACTGTGATCTATGACAGGCGAGCACATTTAGAAACTGTTCATGAACAGCAAAACTCGGCCCAGTGAGGAGGCTTATTCTAGAAAACTAACACACTGGATACAATGTCATTCTAACACACTGGATACAATATTACACTAACACACTGGATACAATGTTATTCTAACACACTGGATACAATGTTATACTAACACACTGGATACAATGTTACACTAACACACTGGATGCAATGTTACACTAACACAGGATACAATGTTATACTGGCACATTGGATACAATGTTACACTAACACACTGGATACAATGTTACACTAACACACAGGATACAATGTTATTCTAACACACTGGATGCAATGTCATACTAACACACTGGATACAATGTTATACTGACACACTGGATGCAATGTTACACTAACACACTGGATACAATGTTACACTGACACACAGGATACAATGTTATACTGACACACTGGATGCAATGTTATCATTACTCCAGGAAGGCTGGTTCCTGGGGATTTAACGCATCAAGAGTAAAATTCTTATCCAGAATGCACCCTGCCCCAAATAGTAGAGGCTGTGACCAGGCTGAATAACTGTAGGTGGCTGGATTGCTATTCTTTTTATGTTTTTAACATAAAAATTTGGAGGAAGGTCCAGAGAGTTCCTATATACACCCGCCCCCACACATGCAGAGCCTTCCCCATGATCAGCATCCCCATGGGAGTCCGTAGGGAGTAAAGGTTTCCTGTCAATATTGTACACTGAGTTAAGGCACAAGTGCGTAATGACGCATAGCCACCATTGTAAGATACACAGTGTTTTCACTGCTGTAAAACTCTTCTGTGCTCCCCTAGTCACCCCACCCCCACCCCTGGCAACCTCTGACCTTTGCACTGTCCCCATAATCTCGCCTTTTCCAGAATGTCATGGTTGGACTCATGGATATGGCTGTTCATTTTAAAGTAATAGCACTGTCTCCATCAAGAAGTCTGTGCGCTTGGCGTTGGCAGTGGGATCTAATTTCCACGGCTTCTTTTCCCAGGGTCCCCGTGGTCCGCAGGGAATTGATGGGGAGCCAGGTGTTCCGGGCCAACCAGGGCCCCCGGGGCCTCCCGGACACCCGTCCCACCCGGGACCCGACGGCATAAGCAGGGTGAGTTGGAAGCATCGTCCATGTTTCTGTCATATAATAAGTTTTTTATTTATTGCTGTGATTTAAAATCGTGTTGGTTCAGCTGTTGACCCTTGACTGTAAGAGCCCCCAAGGGAATGCAGTGCTGCTATGAACAAGGATAAAACTAAGAAATCCACAGGGGATTGTTGGGAAACGCAAAGCAGCTTTTTTTTTTTTTAAGTGCTGCTTCAGAGGCCGTTCTCCAGGCCAGCCCTGGGCCTGTGAACTCTGTTTCTGCTGATTCTAAGGACCCTGAGCATGGGCCCCCCTGAAGGGGAGAGGCTCAGGGGGCGATGAGGTCTGTGTGACTCCCCACCAGGGAGGACGACGCGGCTCCGGTGATGCATGGGAAAGGGCCACCCAGCGACACTAAAATGTGCCTGACCGCTTCCGAGCCTTCGTTTTCTGTTGGAAGTAAAACAAATGTCTTTCCAGACCGTCTCTTTGAATTCCTAGTGGCAGACTGGGGATGTTTGAGTAGGTTGCACGGCGTACTACGGGAACACAGGGGCCCCTGAAATAGGATTTCTGTTTGACAGCAGTTCATCCCTTTGTTCTGATTGTAGAAGGAACTGCCAATCTATGTCTTTGAACAGTTCACACATTCTTTTCGCACTAAAACCTGGAGATGAATGGGACATCGGAAATGTGTATGGACGATTTTGGTCAGCTGGGTTAGCAGAGTGTTTAGATATGAGAGAGAACAGGTCAAACTGTTGCCAGTTCTTGGAACATTCAGGAATTCCACTAAAAGGTTTATAAAAGTTTTATTAACTTACAATAAATACAGTTTAAAACTTGCCGGCCACGAGCAGGAAGGAAGAATCCCAGCTGAGTCGCGTCGTCCGACATGGAATCCGGAGTCTTTAAAAGCTGCTTGTAGGCTCCGTGCAGACGTTGGCATGCCGGACCCTGGGAAGCAACCGGATAGATTTACGACTGGAATGGCTTAGACCGGCTCCGCACTTAACAGCACGATCCATGACCTTACCCAGTCTCAGACACTTGGCTCATTGCAGTCGTCATTCTGAAACAATATCGTCATAGAGCAGTGGTTCTCAACCTCCTGGTCCTTTAAATACAGTTCCTCATGTTGTGACCCAACCATAAAATTATTTTCGTTGCTACTTCATAACTGTAATGTTGCTACTGTTATGAATCGTCATGTAAATATCTGATATGCAGGATGGTCTTAGGCGACCCCTGTGAAAGGGTCGTTCGACCGCCAAAGGGGTCGCGACCCACAGGTTGAGAACCGCTGTCATAGAGATTTGGTGGGAGACTGTTCAATCAAAAACGCACACAGTGAAAAACAACTTGATCCTTTTCTCGCTTAAAGCAAAAGTTTGCAACGATCCTTAGTGGGTGTGGGGAGGCCAGGGCGTGTGCGCACATTCCCCTGTGTAGTGGGTGAGAGACCTGCCTCTGACCATGCACTGTCCACATGTTGCTTTGCAGCCGTTTTCAGCACAGATGGCCGGGCTAGACGACAAAGCCGGACTCGGCAGTCAGATGGGGCTGATGCCGGGCTCAGTGGTGAGTGCCCCAGTCCCTGCTAATGACAGGACCTTGAAAAGGAGGCCCATGTTAGCTCGTGAAGAGCAATGGGCGTCTCCTCAACACGTCCACCCATGGCCCCAGGCTGTTCGCAAACCCAGCGACGCTCCAGTTAAAAGCCGGCGGCCCATCCACAGCCAGGACAAGTATTGACATTAATAAATTAATAAAGGACTGTCTATATAGTTTACTTATTATTTAAAGAAAATAAGGAATTTTGAAACGTAACCACCGATACCATTTAAAAAGTGTGCTTTCTAAACAAGTGAAACAATTGTGAGAGGGTTGTGTTGTAGAAATAGTGATTTGGCAGAACTTTGAACCGGTTTGCCGGTTCTATTCTCTCATTTCCTCTTTCCCTTGCCCCTCCCAGCCCCGGGAGCGTCCTGCAGGGACCTGTGACCGCCCGTCCCCTGGGATTTCTCCAGCAGCAGACAGCTCCCCTTCCTCCAGGAGCCCTTTCACCGGGCGCGGGAGCCAGGCCGTCCCACCGAGGGAGTGGGGGCTTTTGAAACCAAACCAGCTCTTCATGCTTTTTTGCTCAGAACATAATTCGAAAGCATCCCAGATTAGTGGAATTTCAGGCAATAAGGGTAAAGCAGACTACATGATGGCCGCCTTTCCACCGACCCCACCCGGGCGGGCCGCATTAGGAGTCACTGAAACAGCGGTGTAAATTTCTTAAGTCCACCAGCA